CATCACTGGAAGACATTAGTGACCTTGAAATGATAGAGGCATGAGTTGTCACTGCATGTTTGGTCCTCGACACACATATATGGAGACTCTTCTCACCTCATGCCCACACTGTTTCAATAACCGTTTGGCTGGCTGCCCTGCCTCAAGTCTCTCCCTACTGCAATCTATCTTCTACTTAACTATCAAAGTGATCTTCTAAAAGTGCAGATCTGACCAGGTCTCCCTCCTCTTCACCAAACTTCAGTGGCTTCATACTGTCTCTAGGATCAAATATAAAATCTTCTGTTTGACTTTTAAAGCCCCTTCCCACTTTTCCATTCTTCTTACAGTTAATTTTCCTCCACATTCTCTACCATCCAGTAAATTTGACCTAATTGATGTTCCTCAAATAAGACCCTCCACCTCCCAACTCCATGCCTTTTCACTAGTTGTCCCCCATGCATTGAATTCTCTCCCTCCCTGTCTCCCTCTTAGCTTCCTTCAAGTCTCAGCTTAAATTCTACCTTCTGCAAGAAGCCTTTCCTTATCCCCCTTAGTGCCTGCACCTTCCCTTTGAGATTATTTTCAAATAATCCTGCATATATCCTGTTAATACATAATGTTTACATGTGCCTTTCCCACTAGGCTGTGAGCTGTTTTTGCCTTTCTTTGTATTATCAGTACTTAAACACAATGACTGCCATGTAGCAGATACTAAATGCTTTTTGACCAGACTTCAAAGAAGCTAAGCATTCAGACTTGAGGTGAAAGACTGATGTGAAGACAATGCAGTTTGCATTTGGGAGCCACAGTGAGTGACGTTCTTTGGTAGCCAAGAGAATGCGGGAGAGTGTGAATTACGTTTTGGAGTCAGGGTTTCTCAATATACTTGGAATTAGTTATATTGACCTACTCCACTAATAATTTAAGAACTAGCTGAGCCAAAAGGGAAGTCTTTGGGATGTTCCAGATATGTATGATTTAACAGCATTTGCCATTTTACTGGTCTACCTGTCATTGCTTTCTTTGTTGAAAGTCTCTAATGCTTTCAATGGGGCAGCTAGGTAGTACAGTAGACACGGTGCTGGGCCTGAAGTCAAATATGGCCTTGACACTTACTAACTGTGTGACCCTGGGCAAGTCACTTAACCCCGTTTGCCTCAGTTCATCATCTGTAGAAAGCTAGAGAAGAAAATGGACAACCATTCCAATATCTCTACCAAGAAAACCCCAAATGAGGTCACAAAGAATTAGACATGCATGAAACAACTGAATCACAAAAATGCTCTTCAAACTGAATTAATTATTACTTGATAAGTAAAAATAGTTTTCAGGAAAGTCATGAATGCTCAGCATTTATTTTTCAAGATACATTTTACTGGTCTCTAGTAATTATGAAGGTTGAGTTATTAAACAAACACCAGTTAACAAATATCACTACCGCTGTTTGTTTCTGTGCAGAGTGAACTTTTAATGAGCTCATTAGGGCAGACTGATTGCTCCACTTTAACCATAAAGTTATGGATTTTTTAAAGAACAAATATGTAGAAGAGGGAAGACATAACAAAAATATGTAAATGGGTACAGAAGAGCTAACCCTGTAAGTTCCTTTAAAAATTGTTTCTAAGAATATTTCCTGGACATCAGGGAATGACATAGAATCATAAAGATGGAAAAGACTTTTAAAAGGTTACCTAGTTTGAGTCATGATTCCAAACAAGACTATTTCCCAGGCATATATTTGTCTAGCCTATTTTTTTAAGAACCCCATAAAACGGGATTTCATGGTCTCTTTTAATCAAATTTTCCTAGTTCTTATTAGTCAACAAGCTTTTCTAAAATACACTTCTCCATTTGTGAGTTGGACTGTTTACCTCTAAACCTGAGGGCTCTATAAAATACTCAATTATTAGAAATTTAATCCTAAATTACTTTCTGTTCATAAATATTCCAGTCCTTTTTAATATGTTTCTTCTCCCTAACTCCACATAACTTCAGGAAACCAAGATTTTCTTTGTCTTTAAGTTGTTACTTTTTCTTTATCATCCATCATTCTCTCTCTTTTCTCCAAAATATCATAGTAATTTTACTTCATTGATTACTTTTAATTTTAAATGTTGTGAATGAAGAAAGGTTTAGTGTCAGGGGTGTGCTGGAATCAGTTCCTTCTGGTTTCAGAGAGCCGATTACTAAATTTTCAGTGTGAACTTTACATTTCCGTTGGAAATGCTACAAATCAGGGCTTTCTTTATTGTTCTATTGATTGTCTTGACTTCAGAAAGTGATAGAGAAAGTGTTAATAATGCAGGTTAAACTTAAAACTTTGTTGTATATACATATTGTTTTTTTCCTGAAGAGCTGGTTGCTAAATATTTACCAGGACACCTCTGATCCACTGTCTACTTCTTGTTTCTATTAGTGTATTTTGAGGCTTGGATCAGGAACTTATCTGAGTTTTATGTTATCAGATGAAGATCAGAAAAGTGGAGGAAATAATTATTCTTAAATTATTCTCAGTTCTGTGGGTGTTCTTTTGAATAGGCCAAAATATCCTTCCAGAAAAGATTGAAATATATATATTATACACATGTATTTGTGTGTATATGTGTACATATATGTATATGTGTGTGTGTATACATATATATGTATTTCTACACTTGCTCTTTAAGGTTTTACTATGTATGCATCTACGACTTTGAAGAAAGAGGAATAAAAAAAAAAACCCTCTACCTTATAAAAGGTCGTGTCACAGCAAGGATTGTTCTGATGAACCAAGATGGGTGAACAATGATGAATGATTTCAAATTCTTCCTTAACCTATTTTGAAAGAAGGAAAAAAGTATCACTTCTCTCCCTTTACCTTTTTTTTTTCCTTTAGAGGAAAAGGTAAATATATCCCATAGAAAATACTATGTAATCTAGGAAAGATTTTAAGTCAATTAGAATCACAGTGGAAAGTATGCAGAGGGGAGGACATTTGATAAACGAGTTAACAGTGGAGATGGGGGAGAAAGGAGTCAAATGGGAAACAAATATTCTTGCATACCTTCTGTCAATCATCTGATAACATTTTTTCATCCAGCCTAGTCCAGGCATTTTCCTTCTTGGGGTTGCTCCATTCAAGTAGACTATCATATAATCTTCAGCTACCATCAGCTCCAAAGTACTTATTACATACCTAATCATTGGAAGAAAGAGTCTTTTAAAAATTTTCTATATAAAACCTTCCATTATATTTACACCAATTACCATTTTCTTTAAGCATAAATATATGACATGTTTACAATTAGTCTGACTATCCAGTATACTATTTAAAGACCTTCTAACATATGACCTTAACAGCTTCAGAAAAACAAAAACAAAAACAAAATATGGCTGCCTTGCTAATGTCATCTTGCAGAAAATGAACATTAATTGTAAATCATTATTATCATACTTTTTAAAAGTAGTCACACTAATCAGATTTGGGCATAAACCTGACTTTCAAAAATATACACAATTAAAATAATGAGGGGAGCTAAGATAGAGTTAATGTAATTAAAGAGAAATCCAGATTCATTATCAGTGACTTAGAAATGGAGAGTCAGAAAGAAAAGTTATACTTAAGCCAAAAAAAAAAAAATTCAAAACTTTGGGCAGGTCTTCCTTATTCTGGCAAAAATGTTCAAAGGTTTAAAATTCATTCTGAACAAAAAGGCTTCCTATGTCCTAGCTCTATGAGCAGTGTACCTTGACAGATTCCTCCTTTTAAGTATCCCCAAATCATTTCCTCAAATTCAGGGCATCCCATCTGTCATTATGTGTTCACAGACATTCATTCAAAGCACTTTGTTACAGTGTTCACAAGCATCACTCACAGGAAAAGATTTTCCATGACATAGTGGTAATCAGCCCGACTGCTGTCTGGCAGAAAACAGGCAGCAAACACAATGATGGCATTTAGACCATCCCCATAGTATCCTGGGGGACAAACAAAAAGACATTTGTAACTGAGAAAAAAAAACCCTTAACAAGATAATACTTAACAGAAAGGAGGCTGTGGGTAGTCCTAGAATATATATGTATCCATACATCTCTACTGGGCTTTTTAAAGTTTGCAAACCACTTTACAGATGCCATTTTAGGTGACTCTCTAACAACTTTATCAAGTAGGGACATCCCCATTTTACAGATTAGGAAAACCAGGATCAATGAGGCTTTGACTTGACTGTGGTCACATGTATTCAACTCTTGCCTTTCATACTGTGTGACCAAGAGCAAGTTACTTAATGTCTCTGAGCCTCAGATGACTCTAAGATGTACCTAAGGTATAGGTAAAGGTGTGGTGATTCTATGTTGATGGAGGGAATCCACATGTCAATAAAGTCACAGATGTACTGACACATGGAAATAGAGGCCAGAGTATGGATTCGTTGGTTTTTGTTTGTTTGTTTTTTGAGGGTTTTTTTTGAATGAAGACATACGCAGGTCAGCACTTTCTCTGCAACTTAGGAGTCTTAGAGAGCTGCCCTGAGCACTGAGAGGTTAAGTGAATTAGCCAGAGTCACACATTCCATAGGTGTCAGAAGCAGCACTTGAATACAGGTCTTCCTGGATTGGAGGTTAACTTTCTAACTCATTACCTTTCCTATAAACACACATCTGCATAAATAAACATATATAGCTAGACAGACATGCTTAAGTGAGACATGGAAAGTATAAACTTTTACCAAAGAATGGGAATGAAAAAAAAAAAAAAGCTGGATAGAATTATAGAAAGGAAAGAAACCAGCTAGCAATTTTCCCCCCATAAAGTCAAGGAAAAGACTTTTGATTCTATCATATTTCTATAACACTTTAAGGTTCATAAACATTTTCCCCACAATATATTCTGGTGAGACATGTAACATAAGCATCATTGTCCATATTTGGCAGATGAAGAAACTGAGGTTCCATGGTCTTACAGCTAGCGTTAGAACAAGGATTTACACCCAGTTTCATGACTTCAAATCCAGCATTCTTTCCTCTACAGCATGTTGTTTTCCCCCACCATCTTTGCCCTTTTTTATGCCACTGCACACGAGCTAAGTTGAAGGGGAAATTTGGAAGATGAACTATGAAAGAATTCAATTCCCACCTATTTTGGTTACAGGTCATTTGTGAACTGCGAACAAAAACTTTCTTTTGGCTCCAGTGCCACTGGGAGTCCTCAGAATGAATCCATCAGGCATAGAATATGTGAGATATTCTGACCCATTCATTAATAAACATGGGCTTAAGTGTCTAGCCCATTAAAGAACTAACAGTGGGCTTAACGAGAGTCTGAACATGGCCTGACTTTCTTTTACACAGGGGTTTTATGAGCATTTGTATTTCTGGGGAAATGAGGACTGGCTAAAGGCAGATGAAAGGAACAAGTAGGAAACAAGGTACAGATGAGTTGAGAGTAATCCCGATAATTAAGGTCAATACACATTTTCTAAACCAGACTGAATTTTGATGAGCTCACAGATATTTTGAAATTTATCTTTCCGAGTTGTTTTCATTATGGACTTGTGATTACATTCATGTAGGGAACTCCAAGTGTGTAAATTTTTTTGCTTTGCCTATATAGATTGTCAACTCCTTTGTGACTTAATGGTCCTAAGAAAATTGTCCAGGGGCAATGAGAGGCTGGGTGACTTGCCTATGATTACATAAGCTAGTACCTTTTCAGTGGCAGGATCTGAAACTAGGTTTTCCTGACTCCAAGAAAGGTCATTTTGTAAGACTTAGAAAAGCAAATTCCAGAGAAGGGCCTAACTTCTGGGCACAAGAAACGCTAAAGTAGGCTGGGTCTGCATTCCTTCTTTCATATGCTTTCTCAGAAGTTGGTGCTAAGTCTTGGCCAATATTTATCAATGCTGAAAGGGAGTCTCCTATGTAGGTCTTATTAATCAGGAAGGTGATTCAGACTGCACTTTTCCTTTTAAACAACTTTTGTTAAAGAATTCTAAGCTTTGACATCAGCTAAGCTCTGAATTAAAGTTCACTGGTAGATGAATGACAACTTAATCATTAAATAAAGCTATGATCGTAGTCCTTTGAGTGGACTTAGAGGCCACCCTTTCAAGCCTGATCGTACTGCTCCCTAATGAATCACCCTGCTTCATCCCCTTAAAGCCCACAAATCTCTACGAGGAGGATTTGTGCACATGAAGGTGGGCATGGGATTGGGAGAAAAGGGATGAGGAGAGGGCTTGCTTGAAGGAGATTTGGGCACTTTTGATTCTGAGGCTATTCCCTAAAGAGGACGTGCTACAAAGAATCCAATCCATGGTCAATATTTAACTGTGTCCCTCTTGCTTTTTCCCCACAGCAGAATGAAAGCTTCTTAAGAGCAGGGTCTGTTTTTTCTTTGTCTTCTTTGCTCCGTGCCCAGTGTATGGCAAGAGCTTCCAACATGTTTATTGAATTGGGTTGAAAATATATTGAGTAATGGGCATAAGTTCTTTATAAGATTTTGATGCTGCCCACCATCCAGGCAGGAAGGGTCACAGTTACCAAAACTGGTATCTGTGACAGAGGATTGTCAAAGCTTCCTTCTTCTGCTGTATTTATTCACTTTATACTTATGCCATATATACTTGTTGCTTCTGCCTCTTAGAATATAAAGAAGGGTACAGGCATTGTTTCATAGATTGTACTATATTCCTTGTACCAAGCACAATGCCTAGCAAATAACAGATGTTTAATAAATACTTGTTGATTGATTCTACCAAGGTTACAGATTTTTCTAACAAAAAAAACCCCTTCATAATATTTATAGTTAAAATGAGGAGACTTGTGGAAGATATGTTTTGAAGATATGCATACACTACATGCTAAACACATTTCTTTATTTATTTTTTTTTGTGGTGAGGCAATTGAGGTTAAGTGACTTGCCCAGGGTCACACAGCTAGTAAGTGTCATGTGTCTGAGGTCACATTTGAACTCAGATTAAAGCCCCAAAGCTGGAGCTCTATCCACTGCGCCACCTAGCTGCCCCTTAAACTCATTTCTTTAAATTTGTTTTTAGCAAGATTCTTTCCTGAGGCAAATTTTGCCAGGCATGTCTACCTAATAACCTAGCTCTAGCTTTAAAAACACAAAGGTTATATTAGAGAAAGGCTCAATAGAGAAATAGGGAGGGAAAAAAAAAACCTCTTAAATATTGAGTTACATTGTAAGACCATGTCCTGGGCAGTAATATTTCTAACTTTAGAAAACAGTTTTAAAAGTAGCTGGCTGGTTTTGAGGTCTTGGAATATTTACAAATTCAGGAAATTGATCAGTCATTCTTGCCTTTTCTTTTCTATTATTGGATAACTTCTGGAGGCATTAACAAAAACTAAATCTGGGGATTATATATACCATATCATAAGGCATATTAAAATTCAACTTAGTCATATATTTCAATGTTCTCTTTGTAATAAAGTTGTATGTGATTTATCCCAAGTTACCTGGCTGACAAAATATTTATGGTTCACCTAAATTACTTCATTGTCCATTCTTGTGTTATGACATTAATATATGTTCTCTTTGTTGTTGTTTTGTCATTTTAGTCGTGCCCAACTCTTCATGACCCCATTTGAGATTTTCTTGGCAAAGATACTGGAGTAGTTTGCCATTTCCTTCTCCAGCTCATTTTACAGTTGAAGAATTGAAGCAAACAGGGTAAAGTGACTTGCCCAGCTAGCAAGTGACTGAGGCCAGATTTTAACTCAGGTAGATGAGTCTTCTTGACTTCAGGCTCAGCACTCTATCCAGTGAGCCACCTTGCTCCCCAATATGTTCTCTAGAAAAGGGTTCTTGAAATGTGTAAATGAAGGTGAATTCTTTCTTATATATATGTGCTTGAAGTGAGATAATAAAATGAGAAAGGAAAAGATGAGAGGGGCAGGTAGAGGAGAGATGAGATGGGAGAGAGATAAAAATATAGAATGGGGGAGAGGGAAGAAAGAGAGCAGAGGGTGAGGAAATGAGAAAGAGAGGGAGAGAACGAGGAGAGAGAGAGAAAGAGAAAGAGAAGGAAAGAGAGGGAGGAAGAGAAAGGAGAGAGAAAGATAGAGAGAAAAAAGAAGGGGAGAGGAGAGAGAGAGAGAGAGAGAGAGAGAGAGAGAGAGAGAGAGAGAGAG